CGCCTTCTTTATGGAGTTTTCCCATATACCTTAGATACTTACGTATTGTTCCATGAGAGACATGCAATTTCAGGACCATTTCACGAATGTGTTGCCTTGGGTTAGACTCAACAAGCATCAATATCAATTCCAACATGTCGGCCCCTGCCATCACAGTTTTAAGGCTAAAGTCATCTGAACGAAATTTGCTGAACCATCGTTGACACTTACGAACGTTCAAAACATTTCCACAAACTTCTTTGATATTCTTTGTGGTTACAGGTGCGGTGTTTCCCTTCTTGTATTCGAACAGCATTACATGCCGAATATGTATCTCGTCATGTAGCATCACTATAAGAGATTAGAGTATACTAAACTTTACACATTATATAGGCTACACTAACGTGACGTTTAGGCGGTTCGTTTAACTACTATACATGATGTACGTTTTTTTGCGGATGGTTAATGAAAGTGTTCCAAAACGCGACATTAATTTCTTGACGACCTAATACATCTGGTCTATTCTAATGCTAGCACCACTGATGGGACTTTCTCTAAAACACACTTTATATTTTGCAGAATAATGTAAATGTCAGTATTTTTTTGAAGCATTAGCAAATATTAAAAGCTAATGTATTGTCTCCCTCTCCTTTTTTTTAGTTTCCATACTGACGACATAATTATTCAACTTCACTGCAAGTACTTTGTTGTGCAACTAATACACAAAAACTTGAACGAGTTTCAGTAAAACTAAAAAAGATCAATCGTTTATTCTCATTAATGTACTTTATTGAGATTTTAATAGTGTTTATATTCAAAATAGAGAAGAAAATTCATTTATCAGTTACCTGTTATAATGTTGGAAATGTTTTGCAATAACACAATACTGTGATTTATGAAATTATACAACACACTAATTTAAGATTGTTGTTTGTTTTAGAACGAGGCCACATTGGGCTTTCTGCTATTTCCACCGCTGGGAATCGAACCACGGTCTGTAGCGTTGTAAGTCTGTAAACTTATTGCCGTTTCACCGAGAAATCACTAATTTAAGTTAAGATAACTCTTGATGGCCAATTAATTTTAAAAAAGGGTTGATTTATTTCAAAAATATTAGAAAAAATAACTGAAAATAACAAAATGTAGTTTATTTAATTCTAAAAGATATGTTGAGTCAGTAAGAATCACAGAGGATGGTTAATTTATTTTTAAAAGATCTGTTGAGCCAATAAGAATCATAAAGGATGGTTGATTTATTTTTAATATGCCCGTTGAGCCGTTAATAATACCAGAAACATTTGTTAATTTTCTAAATATACTTGTTTTTGAGTCAGTAAATATAACATGGAATGATCGTTCTGTTGTCAAAATGTCTGAACTCAGAATTGGCTGAGGTGTTCCGAGTAGTCAAAATTTTCAAAGTATCTGTTAATTTAATAATGATAACAATGAATGCTTGGTTATTAATTTTTCTACAATACCAAATACATCAACTTTAGCAATGCAATTTACTGTCTACACTTTGTCAGTTTCCATTTATAATTTCAGAATTTCGAAGAGACAGCGAATAAGCAAAAAATAATTTAGTTGTTTAGATTAGCCTCAGTGAACGTCTTTTCTTTATCTTCGATCTATTTTCAAGCTCTAGTTGTTTTTTTTTACATCTACATTTATTCAAACATCTTTGAATGCAAGTAATTGCGACTGCTATTTTCAGACTAAGAAGTATATTTGCACTAGAAATATCTTACCGTCCGGATTCTCGCTGGGTTTACTTGAGCCGACATCTCAAACATGGAAAGGGGCATGAAAAGTTGATTTTGAAATTCGCAATCAACGTATAGTTGGACTCGTGAAAAACCTTTAGAGTTTGGAGGTGAGATATAAAAAACCATATGTCTATGATAGCTTTTCTTGTGTAGTCCTTTAATAGGCAAGTTTTGTATTCTGAGTCGCCCATACTCCCTTGTGATTAACAGAACTAAAAGAGAGGAAACAAAACACATTATGTTACATAGTGAATTATTTTTATAAACCGCATATAAAAACACTGAAGTAACAAACAAATAAAGTTCTACATTCTGATAATAACTGAAACTTGTGCATCACAAGGATTAGACGGACGGGTCAGAGAAACCCAAGACTCAAATACAGTCAGTTGAAATATTGAACTATTGCCCAGATGAAGGGCAACAAGTTACTAGTTCCCGTACGGCTACCTTTAACCGACCAGTGGGATAGCCAGATACTTATAAAGTGTTCATGGCTGAAAATGTGGAATATATTCAGCAGCATATCGCAGGATTGAACCTTAGGTCTTCGGATACGCAGCCCGGTATGCTAACCAGCCCTGCAAAAAAGGGCAAGTTTGTTTATTGCTTTGGATTATTTGTATATTTGTTGTTAGGTACAAAGCTACACAAAGGGCAGCTATCTGTGCTCAGTTCACAGCGGGTATCGAAACACGATTTTTATCGTTTATAAGCCCACAGATTTGTTTCTTTGTAATTAAGCACAAAGCTACACAATGTACTATCTGTGTTCCGACCACCACGGGTATCGAAACTCAGTTTCTAGCGTTGTAAGTCCGCAAACATTCCGCTGTGCCACTGGAGGCTAGCCCATAGACTTACCACTGCATCAACCACCGGGAGAATACTTTGGATTGAACAACCATCACAGATGCCTTTTGTATATAATGTTACTCTTAATGATGTGTAGTAGCTAACACGCTTTATGTTGGAAAAAAGTTTGTCCTAGTTATTAAGAAAGAAATATTCTAATGAGGTTTTTTTATACTTTCATATTGAGCAGAAAGCTAATAATAAAAAATAATTGGGGGGTTTTCTATTTATAATATGAAGCTTTTATTTTGAACTATTATAAACTTTCGTCGAAACATAATTCTCATATATTCCAAGTACCAAAAATTAACTGTTACATAAAATAAAATATTATCATTTAATCTTAACTATTAGTTTTTTTTTTATTTCTTATTAAAAATATCATAGTTGTGCGACTAATTTCGTTGCAATTTTTGTATGTTATGTGTTGTTACCTTGCATTTAATGTATAAGTTCGCTTTAGATGGAATACATAAATTCCGTAACGAAACAAAAGCATGTATATTCTTCATTTCTTTGGCAGTGTTGGTCATCAGTATTAGAAGAAGCTTAAAGAAAGGTGAAGGATTGCAGGCGGATGGAGACTACCAACGTTGCTCTGTAAAACTAAGAACACTAAAGCAGTGCCAAACACTCCCTTGCTAATAGATTTCCTTCGGGAATAGGATAGCGTCATTTGAACTTGATAGAAGCAGATTAAATGTAATTTGGAATATTAATAAAATTAAGCCCTCCGAATAACCTATCGCTATAAGTTAATGTACAGATAGCAGTAAGAATTTCATAATGAAATTATTATATCCTCAATTATAGGATGTGGTTGCTTACGTAAAACTTAACATAAGACCCCCCAGTGGCACAGCGGTATGTCTGCGGACTTACAACGCTAGAAACCGGGTTTCGATACCCGTAGTGGGTAGAGCACAAATAGCCCATTATATAGCTTCGTGCTTAACTTCAAACAAACTGAACATAAAAACAAGTTGAAATTTGTGACATGTAATCTTAAAATAAAATAGAAAATAAAGTTTGATGATCGGAGATTTTTTTAAAGAAACTTTTTTTTTAATTTTCAATAAATATTTATGGTATTTTTTTAATAATGATTGCATTAGTCATTAATTATACATTCAACTTTAGCAACCCATGGGCTAAACGGCCACGTCAAAGACCCTAAAGGTCAGCCATCCATAAGGGAAGACAACAAGCCAACAGCAAGCACTGCATACAAATCTACTCTTAACAGTCTTGGTTATTTGTTTATTTGTTTGAAGTTAAGCACAATGCTACACAATGGGCTATCTGTGCTCTGCACACCACGGGTATTGAAACCCGGTTTCTAGCGTTGTAAGCCCGCAGATATACCGCTGTGCCACTGGAGGGCAGTCATGGTTATAACCATGTTAAGCGGCATATCGCACCTCAAACCTTGGATGTTCTGATCGGCATCCCACTAAGCTAACCACTAACCCACCCTCTACTGACCTCAAAGGTTAATATTTTGCGGAGGATTTATGAACAAAATGTTAGACTAATAAACGTAAATACTTTGAGACATGTTCATATATTTTCATTTTTATTTTTATTCGCGAAATGATGGTTTATTAATAATTTTGTTCAAATGCATGTTGACATATAATCTTAATGGTTATTTCTTTGAAGTTGAATACATAGCAGGAACTGGAACAAAAACATTTTAACTAAGTCCGTTTTTTCTTCTGCTTTTTTTTTGGGGGGGGGGGTATACAAACTTATACTGCCTTCATTGGTAATATAATATAGCAAGAAAGGAATTGGAATTTTCAACCTGAAAGGCACTTTTATGCAGGTGGACTAAACGGCCGAGTCAGAGACCTCCTATGGTTTAGCTATATATCTGTATATCTATCCCTAATTATGTAATACAGATCAGAGGGGAGGCAGCTAGCCAGAAGTTACACACTACCATACGGCCGACTCGTTAAACTGGACAACCTCATTAATCGCTACTTTTATAACGCGCTTACACACCACTCGCAAAGCGTGTTCACTGATAACACGCCTAGAGTATCGGATACTTTGTTCCTTCCAACCTATTATAAATTATCTTATATACTATTTACAATGCGATTGTATTAATAGGCGATGTGTTAAATATCAATTCCATGGGTTATAAAAAGTCAACATTTGAGCTGTGGAACAATCTCCATTTTCTCAATTAAGAAAAACTAGCATTAATTTTCGCAAAAGTGTCCCAAGTTAAACGCTACCAACAAGAGGTTTTAATGTTTACTAGTGAAAATGACTTTTTGCTTCATTTAAATATATCAATATGCATGTCATTTTATTTCACGTGCATGGAAAGGCGTGATTAGTATATATATATATATATACGTACCTGCAATAGATTGGCCCCCTCCCCTCCCCAGTGGCAAAGCGGCATGTCTGTGGACTTACAACGCTAGAGACTGCGTTTCGATATCCGTTGTGGGCAGAGTACAGATATCCCATTGTGTAGCTTTGTGCTTAACTTCAAACGAACAAAGCTATAGCTTTACTGATTCTGTACAGAACATCGGATAAAATCAAAAGAACAATTTATTTTAAGACGACTTACGAACTAAAAATAGCCTAAGATCCTACATCAACGGTAATTTTTCTTTAAAACTCAAAAAAAAAAAGAGATTTAGATTCTGTCCCCACAAAATTAGTAAATTAAATTGAGTTTACAAGTATTTTAAACGATAACTTATAACGGTTCCACAATTATTTCGAGAAGTTCCTAAATATCAGTGCCTTTATTAATAGCATGTATTGATTTTTGAAGATCTGTAGATCATTTATGTTGGTAAAAAAAAGTACCCTAAGAGTTGGCGGTGGGTGGTGATGACTAGCTGCCTTCCCTCTAGTCTTACACTGCTAAATTAGGGACGGCTAGCGCAGACAGCCCTCATGTAGCTTTGCGCGAAATTCAAAACAAACAAACAAGATCATTTATGTAATATTGTTTATTTGTTTTAGCGCAAAGTTACACGATAGGCTCTGTACACCACGGGGAATCTAACCCTTATATTAGCGTTGTATGTCCGTAAACTTCCCGCTGACCAAATAGGAAAAGGGCAATATATTGTTCATTCAGGATTTGTTACTGAAGCTAATTCGAATTTTTCGACGTTATTCCTTTTTGTTGTTGTTGTTAAGCGCAACGCTACACAAGGATCCAACTCTGAATTTTAGCGTTATAAGCCCTCGATCTTCCCGCTACGTCACTGAAGGGCACGTTTTTCGAAAGCATAATGATTCGAATGCATGAAAAAATTAATATCTTGAAAACGTACATACAATACAGGAGTGATATAGCTTATTTTAGGGTTAAAATGTGCAGGTGACTGCTCCTGTCTTGTTTCTCAAGCGAAAGACAAGGTTTAGATCTCTATGCTGAGGCCTCTTTCGGTTTGGAAGCTTATTGTCTTGCAGTGTGTCGAACGATTATCTTAAATGCTTAAAATAATACTCTCTGACTTATCAACATTTTGTTTATACTTGTATTTGTATTTATGTCAAAGCTAGTAAGGCTATCTGCCCTCGTTCTTCATTTCGAATTGCTGACCAGAGGACAGGTAGCCAATCAGCAGCACCCTACCACTGATTATCCACGATAAGGGATTGACTATCACTCCTATAATGCACTCACAGCTTAAATCACAGGGGATATTTTGTACTATCGCAAGGATAGGAAACCGAAATCAGGAGCTCTAACACAAGGCCAACTTTCACACAGCAAAGGAGCTCTAACACAAGGCCAACTTTCACACAGCAAAGGAGCTCTAACACAAGGCCAACTTTCACACAGCAAAAACTACCGTCTTCTTGCTCTAATTCCATTCTCAACACAAAAAATGATACGTAGAAAAAAGCCAGAAATTATGTTTTTTTTACAATGCTGAAACAAACCTTTTACCTGCCTGTTATAATGAAATTTTGTCATGCAATATGAATTGAAAGAATTCATTAGGGCATTTGGATCAAGCCTGGAAGGCCTGGTTTTGTACACTTTTTTCATATTTAATTAGGCATTTAAATCATAATACTCCACCACCACCGCGTGTAGCGATATCTACAGTGATAAGGGATAGAAAACCATCTTACTACAAACAAAACGATAGACCAACAAAGCCTTCCCTCTTCCTATACATGCCTGTCCCGAAACACACCTAAATGTTTATTTGAATATTATGCAATCCACTCAGACTATATTGTTGGGCAATTAGGATTCGCGCAGAATGTCAACATGTTAAGTGATCTGTAAGATATCCCACAAAGAATATCTACGTTTTTTTATCTCTCAATATTAATGGTTAGAAGTTGCGAATAAATATATTGCAATGACACAAGCTTCTGAAAATTGCGTGAAATTACGATAATCAATGTAGGAGCGAAGCATGGGGGTTTGACTCTCTGACTCCAACAAAATGTCAAGTGTTTTCAAATGTATAACTAGAAGAGTGTTTAGAGAGTCCCACCCCCCCCCGCTCCCGCATTGATTTGAATTTTGAAGTAACCAATCTAAAATGTTCACCAACCAAATGCCAATTTGCCACCCTCCAAAAAAGTTAAGTGTGGGTGCTAAGATCTTCGTTCTATCTTAATTTGTTCTCGAATCTTGACCGTTTGTTCAAAATCCCAAATTGCTACTATTATAACGAAAGTGGTTGGTCTTCAGTGTGACCTTAATTCATTTTTGCTACTTTTACCAAAAAGTAATCAAGTGGTTCTTGGAGGACACTCAACCTCTGTACCAAATTTGACGGAAATCCGATGAAAAAAATTTCAAATTATGTAACTGACACTCAATGTGACCTCGACTTTTGAGCTAAGTTCTCCAAAGGTCAAACATATATTATGCGGAGGACACTCGACTTTTGTACCAAGTTTGATCAAAATCAGATTAATTGCTTTCCAGTAATGTTGTTCACACACACACATATATAAGAATGCAAATAATACCCCTGCCATCCGTTAGACGGGAGTAAATAAATACAGTGAAAAATCTCAGAAATCAAACTAGAGTAAACATTATCAAAGAAGTGCGGCTCAGATAAGTTGCACGACATGGTTTGGAAAATTACGTTATAGCGTAGGTGACAATAATCTGAAGTAACAAATGATTGCTATTTATTGTTTTATGAGACTTTGTAAATACAGTTTTTTTATTACTTGTGAGTAATATGAAAGTTTTTTTTTATTACACGCATTCATTTCTAAACTACCTGTAAACTATTAGAGATATGATACTGTTACATTATACAACGTTTTTGTTTTTCACTACAGAAAAGCTATTAAGAATAATTTCTCAAATATTCATAATTTCATTAATTATGGTTTGAGGTTTAATGTTTTTTTGTAAAATAGTCAGAACTAAGACATCCTTTTTTTCTATGAATTTTAGAAATGTTCCTAAAATACGAAAAACCTTGTTGTAGAATATAGCAAAGCATACACACAAAACTAATTCTATTATAGGTTTTCAGTTTTATGTAACAAAGATGTGATCATAATTATTTCATGAATAATAGTTATCATACACATAGGTTAAAAGTAGATTGTAATTACTCAAATATTAGACAATCAATTTGCAGATTTGTTAAAGTACAAAACTATTCAAAGGGCTATCTGTCCACTGAGCGTAACTTCACAATGAGTTTTGTAACAAATTAATATTACCCAATATCATGCAATATAGGGACCCATCTGGCAATGAGAGGTAAAAAAACAACAAAAACAAGTCGATAATTTGACTATTAATTGAATTAAAGTACGGGAGCAACTCAACAACGCAAACGTGACGTAATACTGGTTAAATTATAATATATATATATATATTGTCTATAATTTGTAGCGAATCACTTGGGTTACTCTGCACACGGTCCAGTTTAGTTTGAGAAAGAAAACAATAAAAAACTACTACTACTGGCTAAGTTTAATTAGGGAAACAATAATGAAACAAAGAGTCTATCTAATTTCATGCCTTTTCTTGGTTTCTAAGAAGACAAGCTGAAACTCAAGCAATTACTTCTGCTGATAACAATGGCACCTTGGTGTTTTCTTAAAAAGACCCACGCAACATTTAAACTTTCTACATCTTCATATCATAATGATCCTTATATACAAATTAATGTGATGTTACAGCTTCGCATTTTAAAATGGAGTTATTTTATTAGCCCTTATCTACAAATGAATGTGATGTTACAGCTTTACATTTCAAAATGGAGTTATTAGTAGCCCTTATATAGAAATTAATTTAATGTTGCAGCTTCACATTTTCAAATGGGGTATTATATTAGCCCTTATATACAAACCAGTTTTATTAATGAAACACTAAAATAAAACTCAGTATGGATTAACCTCAGATGTCTAACATGTAAATATTTTTAGCACAAACATGTTTTCACGTTTCATTTTAAAGTTATATATACTATCAGTTTTTTAGATCTACTTTTCATGACTCGTACCAGATGTAACGGTCACAAAGCAGTCATGTTTGGAAAAATTACTTATTTAAAATCAACTCGCGCATTTCCTGATAAAAAATCATCCCTTATTGAGAAGAATTACTGAGTATAGTAGTGTGACGTGTAAACAATAAAATCGTTGATAAGATACACTTGTATAATAATTTTACTGTTACAATATCATTAAGCACTGTATAGAATACCGCACACGTTAATGAGACTGAAGTCAACCATCCAGGCTACTTTACCAAAGCAAAAATTCTGTCGTCGTTCGCGGAAATGAAATTAAAAATATACATCTAGAGAGTGGGAACAACATAAAAATCTGCTCAGAGAGAGATGCTACCAATACCATAAGTTAAATTATTTATCGCTGTAGTTTAACTAAGTTGTGTACATACACGTACTAATTCATGTACGTATTAAGTCATTTTCATTATTAAAACCTACGCTATATTAGCGCTAATAAAATAACTCCATTTTAAAATGTGAAGCTGTAACATCACATTAATTTGTATATAAGGGCTAATAAAATAACTTCATTTTAAAATGTAAAGCTGTAACATCACATTCATTTGTAGATAAGGGCTAATAAAATAACTCCATTTGAAAATGTGAATCTGCAACATCACATCCATTTGTATATAAGGGCTAATAAAATAACTCCATTTGAAAATGTGAATCTGCAACATCACATTCATTTGTAGATAAGGGCTAATAAAATACTTCCATTTGAAAATGTGAAGCTGTAACGTCACATCCATTTGTATATAAGGGCTAATAAAATACTTCCATTTGAAAATGTGAAGCTGTAACGTCACATCCATTTGTAGATATGGGCTAAAAATGTGAAGCTGCATCATTACTCCCAATAGAAAATGAAGAGTTAGGCTTTTCTTTCTATTTGAAAATGTGATTTTGAATGTCATTTCGATACAAGAATGTGAAAACTTGTAATGTCAGTTTCATTTTTTAAATATATGTAGAAATTTACTTCCAATCAAAAACAGGGGGCTTTTACTGCTACATTTTTGGATCAAATGTAATAAATAAACTTTTTTTGGTATTATGAATCGATGAGACCCATTTATAACCAACGACAAATTAGTGGTGTCACTGTGTATAATTCCTTTGCTTGTCAGGCCGTAAACCAATAAGAAAGGTTTCGTTTCCATTTACAGCTACGAAGATATTGTTGAAGCAACAATAAATAAGAACAAACGAGATGTTTGAGAACATAATTTTTTCAAGTCGACTGAGATCACACTTTAAAAGGCTATGTACACTGTTGTCGCCCTTTCAGCAATAGACAGTATAATACGAAACCTCTTACGAAAACATTTGGGAGAAAGGCTTCTTCGACATTAGTTATGACAGATGTAGTGAGGTAGACATATTAAAACATATTATTCATTATTTCACTCATAAGTTCTTACAGTTGACGCTGTGGTTGCTACGGGAACAAGACTAGCTTGCTGATTCGCCAATTCTTCTGAATGATATTAAAGTTAATTAAAATAAAATAAATAATTCTTGTTAGTAAAAAAAAAGATACATAATATTGTTTTATTAATCCTTACACTATAAAAACTGATTCGTAAATGACGTAAATAAAACTGATGATAATTACAACTTATTTACTTGATCTAGTCCACGCCATAACAGTTGTTGATCTTGAAAGTGGACGATTTAAATAGCGCCTAGACCACTACTATGTCAGTCGTATCCCAGCCACCCTAATGAGCCCTGGTATTGACGAAAGGCCTCGTTGGCACTGGATATGGCAGATGTAGTGTGATTTGCATATTATAACATATTATTATTTACTTTACTTTTACTCATAAGTTCTTAGAATTTAAATGTAAAAACATGATCTAAAATATGTGTGTAATTGTGTCCACTCATAAATCGAGAACGGCTGGACCGATTGTCACCAAACTTGGTATGTAGTCTTAAACCCTTAGGGGTCGGCGTTTGGATATAATCCCTATGTAACCCCCGCGAGATTCCTATGTCTTTCCCATGCGTTAAACAGATATGTCAGCTAGAGTCCGTCGTTAGAAAAAAGGTAAGTTTATGTATGGATTTACGTTGCCAAAATCCCGGGATTTGATTCCCCGCGGTGGACACAGGACAGGTAATACATTGTGCAGCTTTGCAATAAGAAAACAACAACCTTAACTAGTCTGTTTTATTTATATAAATTCAAAGGAAAAATATCTCTAGTTTTCATTTCATATAATATATGTATACAAGTATATCCTAGCCTTTTTTCATATTCTCAGAATTCTTTGTGGAAAGTCATGCCATGTTCTCCTTCCAGCTTTTGTGCTGATTTTTCTAAGTCAAACTCGTATTAAGAGCCTCAATATATCATCTTCGAAAGATGACGGCACAGAATATTACAATGAGCAGACGAAGAGCCTATAAATAACAGATGATTTTAGTGTGAATATTATTTTCAATTGATTTACGTTACAAATTTAAACACCTTTATGATAAAGTTAAAACATTTTAGTTTGTCAATTAAGTTTTCGAATAATGTTGTTGTTATTACTGTAATAATGTAGCATGATATGATACGAAATATAAGTGATTAACACGTTGGAAAAGGGGGCTATATCCTATATACTGTGTACAGTATTAATTATTGGTTTTAGTTATGTGTTCGTTTTGTTACTCGAGCAATGGTTACGTTCTCCCTTTTACACAACAACGAACACATACAGTGATGATATTATTAATCTAGCTTCAAATGAAGCCGCTGTCAAGAAAAACCAATCGTGGGTTAACTCGGTGCTAAACCACGAGCGTTGCATGAGCGAGACACGTGACTACATAAATGTGCGTCACGCATATAAACTCTACTGCACCGTACACGTTAGACAAAAATTTTGACGTCAATTTATAAATTTCGTTTGAATCACTTTTAAAGTTGAAAAACAAAGCACTGTACAAAAACATTACGCCATTGATAATCAAAATCTACATCAGGTTTTGTTTCCTTATTATATAATCACTGTTTACAAATATATTTCTGCAAATGGCAAAGAAAAATTATATATATTTCTTTCTTCAACGATAGTCCTTATACTAAGCGGTATGTCTGCGGACTTACAACGATACCCTTGGTGAGCAGAGTACAGATAGCCCGTTGTGCAGCTTTATGCTTAACTACAAACAAACATTGCTATAAGCATACAGTGAAAAACTAAAGGCGTTTGTAAGACACGAAAATATATGTACTAGTTACTTTTTACTGCTATTTTGCAAAATGTACTGGAAAAGAGGACGCGAACCATGCATCCTAAGATTCTCACTCCAGCACGCTAACCAACAGTCCATACCCGGCCTATTTGTAGTATCTAAAGATAAATAACTAGCAGGTTTTCATCATACTTATTAGCCATTAAGCTCCAGCTTTCGACTGTTTTAAATCTATATATAAATTGTAAAAGAACTATCTCCCCCTGCTGGCTCAGCGGTAAGTCTAAGGGCTTATAGCGCTCAAGTCGGGTTTCGATACCCACAGTGAGCCAACACAGATAGCCCATTTTATAGCTTTGTGCTCCATAACAAACACACACACGTTATAACTAAAAAAATGTAAATATCTTGTGTGACATTTGAAATATGTTAGTATTAACTTAACGTCACTTGTTGCTTAAGAAAGTAATTCTCTTTTCGGAGTTCTTAATCAACTGATGTCACATCTAACTGATTAAAACCAAATTAATAATTAAAACAAAGTTTTTTCTATACCTAATTAAAACCGTCAATTGCCTCTTTAAAAAACTGCACGTTTCGACGTTACTAAGTTTTCTACACGTGTGCAAAAAAAAAAAACTTTGTATTTTATTTAACTATTTGATTTTAACTCTTACTCAAGTACCGATCGTTCACACTTAACTCATCGTGAGGTTTGACTTCGGCCAAACGAAAGATGTTTTATACGGTATGATGCTTCCTTTCCTGCCAAAATTTTCCACGTGAACTCTACACGTATAAAACGCTAAAGGAGAACAGGGAAGGTCAGTAACAAAAATATGTATATCTATAAAACGTTAGTATTAGAATTAGTATTAAAGTAGTATTTTATTCAAATGCACAGAATAAAAGGATCTGTTTGTTTTCGAATATTTATACAAAGCTACTCAATGGCTATCTTCGGTAGCCGTCCCTGGAGGAAAGGCAGCTGGTCAACAGCTAGTCAACAGCATCCATTCCAACTTTTGCGCAGTTCTTTTCAGACTGAATATTGTAAGATTTGATCGAAACTCTTATAACACACCCACAACTATAAAGTATTGAGCACGATTTTGTGTGTGTGTGTGTGTGTGTGGTAACTTGACGTGAATAAAGGACCCGCAGATCCATCTTCTGGTACCTTAACCCCTGGGTCACATCTGGTAAAATTAAATTGAATTTTCTGAGATAAATTTGTGGTTAATAAAGCCAACATAAACAAAATATAGGACGTTAACATTAATTTCTAAGCGCAATAACATTGAAAACACTTTTTAACTTGCCCAAATTTTCTATTTGTATCACATACGGTATTATATCATTTTGCCTTATATTGTTCATTTAGGTTTCTTAACCTTTGATCCCATATTTAACCCATCAACTTGAATTGGTTGGATACTTTGATATGTCATGAAGTTCGTTATGAAGGTGCTTTTCTGTTAATAACTAGTTCGATCACTCAAAACTATGTATTTGGCGTTATGGTAAACAATGAAAAAATTCCGGCATTATTTTTGTTTTTACTACATTTCATTTTTTTCACAAAAATAATGACGTAAAAAAGTGAAAAATATCCGAAGAGAATCAAAATATACATTGTATTCTTTTAAAATTAGAGTGGTCAAACATGCAAAAAAATAACTTAATAAATCTTTTTTGTACACAACCACGCCCGCTTCGTAAAAAATATTGATGCCCATCCAATTTCTCCGTTGATCCCATTGACATGAATGTGATTAAAAAAATTCAAAATTTTCTATGTATTTCAGTGAGGGAGGTGATACTTGAACACTAGCTATATTACTGGTTTTGGTCAGTTCTCCTTTTTTCTGGTTATATATCCGTAAGAATTCTATTGGCAGATTTATTGACTTACGTTTTTATAGAATCCTTCATTATAAATCTCATGTCAAGAAGTGTCGAATAAGAACGACGTATATTACCTCTGTGTTTTGTTCGTTCTAGCAGAATGCACAAACTATGCTGTGTTCCAGGAAAGCTCACTGATAGCAGTAGTTGACTATCTCCGTATCTCCGTCGCGGGACAATGTCACGTAACACAATACCCACCTCATGGTATGGAGATATCAGGGCATCTTCTAATGTACGAGACAGACCTTGTGGAAAAAAGGGGAAAAAAAGAATTACAACAAACACACAATAATAATCTTATAGTAAATCATCTTGGATGACACTGTGAATAGACTGACACAAAATAAAATGTTTTTTAATGACACATACAGTGCTAAAACATATAAATAATACAATAAAACTAAAACGAGTTTCAATTATTTTCACCCAGCCAAGGTTGAATTTATTTGAAATAAAAATAATTCAACTTAATCATTTCAAGTGTGTAAAGGAAGATTAATATTTGTTTTTTAAGGTGGGTGCACAATGAGTCTGTCAAGTTAAAACGATCAATCTACTGTATGAGTGTGTTTTTCCTTCCTGTAAGTTTGAATATTACAACTAGTTTGACTTTCAAACTTTGCAAGATGTATTTGTTGACAGAATCAAGCTTTCGTATAGAGGCTAGGAGCTGATTAACGAAACAAAATCCAATAATTATTCTATTATAACAAAAGGTTGACGTAAGTCTGTCCCACGAATCAAATAACCTGTTTTGACAAAAATAAGTCTAAAATTGGTTTGCTATATACAAAGCTATGATCACACATATTACAAGTCATTCAACAATCGACAAGGAACGTATCATTGTCAAAACTATTTTCGCGATTATCGTTCGAGGCCTGTATTGACAGTAATGAGTTTGCTTTTATTTGAAGGGCGAAACATAGAAACACATTTTTGAAAGAGTTCTTTTACAATTGACTCAAGAGTAATAACACATAAAAGTATGTATATTGTGATATAAATTCTCAGACTTGGGATGATTTAGCGACAGCCGTTTAGAATAGCAAATCTCAAAGTGTGTTTCTAATAGAAATATTTCAGAACAAATGGAGCAGATGACGTCTAAATCTTACGGCTACCGAAAAACTAACGTAACTGCGAACAAAGTCCGAAAGATCTAGCCAAACTTAATTCCTATATCAAGTTTAAGATTGACCCTTGTATGTGGTAAATTATAGGAACTGGAAAGTGGTCTTGAAATGGTCCATAGATCTGAATAGGTAGATGTATTACAGGACAATTGGTACCTGTTGATCTCATTCATACGAAGGGATCTATATAGTAAAGGTTAATTTGGCACTTGTGTGAGTTTATCCACTGTTAGATGATCAGATGGTATTTACACTACATTACTTGCCTATAGTGATCTATTATCTGTTATAAACTTGGCTGGCACCTATTCCACCTTTGTTTAACATGTAGGTTTCACACTTTTTTATGGGCCAGAAGTACTGGTACAGGAAATGTGTGAATTCACACCTTAATGAGAAATGATAATTGTGAAATCTATTAAAATTTAACATAAAAATTTAATCAATTTGTAAAATTGGTTCATTTAAATTTACATCACCAAATCTCACATAGTCATCATATGCGTGGTACGTATACAAATTAATAGTTAACAGTTTTTGTTTCGTTTTAACTCTTCACCTACCACTTATACGACTTCAATTCTGTTTATATTTTCACACCGCTTTGACATTTCTAGACATTTATATATATATATATAGGATGAGTGAGAATGTTATTTGTTCTACATTTACACCTATAAGGTTGTGACTCCTTACCTGTGAAGGCTATGTTTGTTGGTATCCTACCTCAAGCAACCTATTTTAAGTGTGTATAACTCAGTTATTATCATAGAAACGACAAGTACGGTGACCATCATATTTATGGAGGTGTGAAAAAGAAATGTAATAAAAAATACGAAACACCTCTGGCACTATTACGGCTGGAAGTGGACAATTCTAATGGCTTTTAAAATTCCCACCAAAACTGTTGATATTTTTAAAAAACAAACTTGGATCATTTAAGTTAAATATTCGATTCTATCACACCAAACAAGTGTTATCACAGTTCATCGGGAAATTTTGTGACAAAGAACAATTATGAACCCAGCCTTTTCTACATTTATTGATGACAAAGTTTATTAAACGACAATGAACAATAATACCCATCAAGTATTGTGATAAGAATCTATCAGGCCTAATGGCGAATTTTTGCATACTACTCAATACTATTTAACCTTTGAAACATATACACATGAATACTTGATGCGTTTGGAATCGTTATCTCTGTACACTAAATGAAGCTGATATACCTCTTATCATTTTATTTACCAAAACCACAAATGAAAACCTGCACTTAATTAGATTAGAAACCGTTATTTGAGCAACCGGTTGTTTACTTAGAAACAGAAACACTAAAATTGTTCTCAATAACATATATTCTTATCTCTGGATTACTCACTTTTATCATACGACAGTTTCGTTGCCCTGGCAATAGAAACCCGCCACAGAAGAACACAGGATCCAATATATAACAAGAAATACGTAACCCGTCTCATAGTGTTAAACATAGGGCAGACTACGAGATGATGCCTCCTCTTCTGTTAGAACAGTTGCTTGTTTGTATCTCGGTATGTTGGCCTCTCGTGCCCTTCTTGCCTACTTACAGCAACTTCAGCCAATTGGCCAAGCCTTGTTAGGATGTCATATCCCGGATCGAGAGGGAGCGCTAACCCCACGTCCCTTCATAAAGTGGCGGAGAGTTTTATTGTTCCAGGATTTGCGTAATCAATACAACGTGGTTCATTTCATCTAATAAAAGCCAGACTACTTGATTTATTTGCTTTGTATAACACAAGAATAAATGCATAAATCATTGAATCTGACTTATCCTTGTAACATGATTAATGATTTTCAGAGATCCTACGAATAATTTACAACATAGTTAAAATAACATTGGAATTCCATTTTTACAAAATAGCATTAAGATAAATATTTTGTGTTGATAATCAGGTCTTCAAATTCTTATTTCGTGATATACATTTCTAGTTATCAGTTTTGAAATAACTTATACGTATTTAAAAACATAACCATAACGTATAGAAACAAATGCTTTATTAGAATTAATGCTGTCTAAAAAAGATTTTCATTAAGGCTTGATTTTAACTTTAAGCTACACAACGGACTATCTTTGCTCTCTCCACCGCAAGGAAACGAACCCTGGAAATTACCATTGACCAATCGGGAGACTTGGTGTATTCTCCTAAAGCGACTTGATTATATTTTGTGAAAAAAAACAACAACATTCACTTAAATATTTGCTATCATAAAATTTAAAGTACGCTTGTTTGTTTGTGTTGAATTTCGCGCAAAGCTACACGAGAGCTATCTGCGCTAGCCGTCCCTAATTTAGCAGTGTAAGACTAGAGGGAAGGCAGCTAGTCATCACCACCCAGCGCCAACTCTTGGGCTACTCTTTTACCAACGAATAGTGGGATTGACCGTCACAGTATAACGCCCCCACGGCTGAAAGGGCGAGCATGTTTGGTGTGACAGGGATTCGAACCCGCGACCCGCAGATTGCGAGTCGAGCGCCCTAACTACCTGGCTATGCCGGGCTTTAGGGATCGTAGGAACCCAAATAAATAATGTAGTAAAAAAAAAAAGTGCCCAAACAATTCACCTTATTAGTTCGTGACTCAAAAATATTGAAAATGATAAAAAATAACAAAAATATCCAGTTCTTTAATATCCGTATATGTTAATTAGGATATTCCTATGTCTGTGTTGTTGTTGTTTTCGTGTTTCTGGTGCGTCGAATTAATTCTATTAAAGTTAAACGTTAGCAAGAACTCTGACAAAAGTTATTACTTAGTAACAGTATATAGTTTAATTTTTAACTTAACAGGTCAAAAAGAGAAAGAATACTAGCTCTAACCTAGCATTTTACAGAAATTATTTTGTCACATATACCCAACAGAAACTAGAAACTAGCAATCATAATATCGTTTACACCTGCCCAACAAATATTGATAACAATCTCAACTTCATAAATATATACGCAACAAAAACTGTAGCTAACAATATATTTATATATATATGTCCAAAAGAGTCAGATAGTGGAAAATGTATAGCTCATAAGCATATAACTAACAGAAAGTAAGATATGCGATGGTTGAGCAAATATGTTATAGAAACAACTCGTACACAGTGATTTTTGTCGCTTTTCCAGCTGGAGATCCTTTTCTAATCATTTTGCGTACTGTTGCCTGGGTCACGTGGACCGCTTTTGCTTCTACCGTATGTTCTATGGTTTTTAACCTGTCAAAAGACGCCGTACTTTGCTTACCATGACTGGGGTACGACTTGTTAACAGGACCCTTTCTGTATAATTCTGGTGCCCCAAGATCATCCATCTTTCTTTGTTTTCCAATGTCAGTAAGTACAAGGATATCCCTTTATTGTAAAATTTAAATCCCTGATCTGAACATATCTTCGTGATCTGAGTGTTTGAATATTTTACATCGGAAAAAGTTGTTACATATCTCTTCTCTAAAATGATGAATTTTCGGTGGCGCTACACTAACCAAAAACTCCAATGTTAAAATGTGGTTCTTATATATTCCGTTCCATCGCGACTTTATATCAGCTGTGGGTGTCATGTGCTTTGCTGATTTGTATATTCAAAATCGTGTTAATATGAGGTACTCAACCTTCTGTACTCCAGCTGCATGGCACAATCTAAACAAACAGTACCAGAGAAGAGATGCTTTAAGTGACACTTTTATTTCTTTTGTAAAATATAATCCTTTTGTTCTTGTCCCAAAATGCTACATACAATGTTTCTTTAGTCCGAGGATTAATATATTTCATCTATTACTTTCCATATATGATTCACTGACTTTTGCTAATTGGGGTCTTCCACGTTCATTACACCGACTCAGATATGAAGACAATCCTAAGATGATGCTTATTAATCCAGTTGGTTTTAAAGTAAGTGAAATTTCTGTAGCCAAATGGCCAAATATCTTTCACATTGCTTGAGCCTCTACTTACTCATTCGAACTGTAGAAAAGCGAGTACGGTGAAGAAGCATCACTTTCAAATCTAGTGGTGTCCTGACGACCAAACCGGTCAAAAAATGCTGACTGACTGGTGGTCAAAAAATAAAAAGAGACCAACTTACCCTCCCAATCGCAGTCTGATATTTTTCAGGCAGGACAAACAAAATAAAACATTTATAAGTGATATCAAAAGGCCACATACAGCACATCGTATGTTACTCTACCAACTATCATGGTAACCATAGTAGCAACTTGAACACAACATATATCTAATTAAGCAAATACGGTGGTGGAACACTCACTACAGAAAGAAAGTAAATAAACTTTCCTAGAATGACGCAACACCACCTCTATTCTCAAAAGCACTCGATTACCACTCGTAAAACATTTAAATAGATAAACTGATTATTAAAAAATAAGGTAATAAGTTTGGTAAAAATTCATAATTAAATAAAACTATCAAAATATGGTATTGATTATTAAAACTAAAAGTCACAGAAAACTAACCTTTCATTCAATAAACAAAAATTTAGAATACAACATACAAAGAGAAAAAAAACATGTCCTTTGGAACGAAATTACGGCCAAACAATACGTACTCTTAATGGCTGGAGACGGCTTAAATGGGTAATTTAAAGTTTTTCTTCATTACCCATTTAAGCCGTCTCCAGCCATTATTAGTCTCAAAGTGGGTTCCTCGTCATCGAATTTGAATACGTACTCTGTACTCTTTATAATTACACAGCTTAGATGTCATAATTAATTCTAAATGATTGTTTGTTTGTTTGTTTGTTTG